TCTCTGCTCCCCCCTCTGTGCTCCCCGGTGTCTGCTCCCCCATTTCTGGTTCCCTCATCTCTGCTCCCCCCCTCTGCTGCCCTGTCTCTGGTCCTTACAGCTATGGCCAGAGGATGGAGAGGGACCAGCATATAGGATAGGGATCTGTGGTTCTGAGGCCCATTGGCCTGGACTTGAGTCCAAGGCTGACATCTGCTAGAGAGGTGGCCTCAAGGAAGTCACTTTACACTTCTGAGGCTTGTTTTGGTCTTTTGAAAATAATGAAATAGTGTCTATGAGGCTGAGTTTGCTTAGAATCTAAGACGAGGAGCTCTGTGATTTGTGTGAGTGAGTGTGTGCTCACTGCCCTAGGAAAGACGGTTCCATAGTCACTGAGCGTGCGTGGTGAGTTAATGGAACACAATTAGTGGAAATCACAAAAATTGACTGTATTTTCATTCTGGTCCTGCGGAGAAAAACAAAAGCGCATTTTATGTGTAAGTCTATTTTCTGAAGCAATTTCTTTAGCCCTTTATTGGCTTGATGAGTGATGTGAATTGGAATCTGTAGCCACAGAGAGACTTCACAGTCTAGAAAGAACCGGAAAGTGTGAGTTATGACTGCGCCCCCTCCCAGGCGTGACAGCAGCACCGGGCACGGTGTTAGTTCCTTCCGGCAGCAAAAACGCCATCTCCACGTATGTTGCTGTTATCTGTTCTTCGCAGAGCAAAAGCTGCCTCGAGTCTGTGTGACCCAGCATCGCATGGAAAACCCCACTGCCTGGCAGGTACTTTCACGAACGCACCATGTCACTGGTTTAAACGGGTGAAATGTGTCTGTGCCCCTCGGGGGCTCTCGCCGCCTCCTGATGCTGGGGTGCGTTCCCGGGAGACGCCCCGGAGGGTGTGGGTGTCTGTGCTGAGCCACTCATGGTGACTGCTGTTCCCCCGTCTAAACCCTGACAGGGAGGGGCATTGGAGAAAACATTTCAGCGCTCAAGGCACAAGCGGATGCAGGCTGCTGGGCCCGGGTTCCAGCCAGAGCCCCATGTCCCTGCCTCAGGAGCAGCCCGGACCTCGTTTCTGACCCCGAGGGGGCCGCCGGGTAAGTGGTGCTGTGGCCCAGCTGTGCGTGAAGGGAGCAAAGAGCCGCCGTCTGCTGGTCTGGTGGCTTTGTTCATGACAGGTGAGCCTCGCCGTGAGGGAGTGCGGCGCACAGGAGCACACCTGGGAGCTGTCCTCACATGTCTGAGGTGTGGCAGGGGACAGCAGGTGCTTCAGCCGGGGCTGTCACGACCTGTGCACTCACCCTCAACCTGAAGCCGGGACCGTGGGTGACCACCCTGTCCTCTGCCCTCACCTTCACCCAGAAACCCTCTTCACTCCCTCCTCCCATGGGCCCCCGCCCCAGCCCCCACCCCGACCAGGGGGTCTCCTCTTGGAGGACTGGCCTGGCTGTGTGGCTGCAGGGCTCCACCTGCTCCTCTGGGGCACCGTCTGCCCTGTCACAGCAGGTGCCAGCCCTGACACCGCAAGGCGTGGTGAGGTGGAGGCCTGCGTGCCAGCAGCAGGGTCTGGCTCACAGAAGCCGCTGGGGAGAGGGCATCTGTCTGCCTTACAGTTCGACGGGGCCCTCTGCGTCTGGGCTGGGTGTGTCTGACCCTTGACACAAGGCGTACGCCTCATCGAAGTGCCTCCCTAGGGCGGGGTGAGTGGCACACGCCCTCCCTGCTCCTGTCCAGCACCCCAGGTCATCCAAGAGGCCAGGGGAGGCTCATTACGGGAGGATGCCGGTGCCAGGGTCATAGGGCTGCTGGGTGGGCCGAAAGCAGGGCTGTGGCTGGGCCCCCGCACACTGCAGCCCTCGCAGGTTCAGCCAGTATCATGCCAATCCAGTGCCTTCCCTTGGAGACCCCACCCAAGTCGGTGCGATGATCCTCATTCCTGCTCTGATGGGTCCTCTCCTCTCTGCAGGGACAGGGGAGGAGAGGAGCACGGGGGGGTGCCTGGCAGCACTCCCGGAGCCAGGGGGCGGAGGGAAAGACCTGCGTATAGTTGCTGCTTTGAGGCGCCTGGACCCGTGAGGCACCTGAACTGGATGACAGGGAAACATGGTCCAGATGGTGGCACCAACGTGAAGCTGGGACCCAGTAAGAGTGACCCGTTCTCCACACACACCGTGTCCCGTGGCTCCTGCGTGTCCTGCCCCGGTGTTCAGGGCACTGTCCATAGCAGTGGGGTTACTGCTTTCCGGAATTCACCTGGCTGTCACCCAGGAAGCCACTCTCCCAGTGCCTATGCCAGCCGCACGAGCAGAGCCTTGCAGGACGGCTGCAAGGGGCCCCCTCTGCCCAGCTGCCCCTTTCCCCAGGGGAGCCTGGACAACGGGCTCCCTCCGCCCGGAGGGCAGCGTCTCGCAGCGGGGGGCTATTCCACCGAGGACGCCAAGTTTCGAGGGGGGCCGGTGCCCGCGGGAGCCCCGTGCAACCCCGTGCTGTCACTTGATGTGCCCGTCAAGCTGGAGAACGACTCTGGGTCTGAGGACGCGGCAGACGGCTACCTCGTGTCCCCAGGCCAGGTGTGGCCGGGAGCCGGTGGTGTGGCCAAGAGACAGCTGGTCACTTTCCCTACCAGGATACACCTGAAGACGGAGTCAGACTCCAGACCCCACCTGTATGCGCCGCACCTGGGGCACAGCATGCTGGGGGCTCACCTGAGCGGCAGGGCTCCACTCAGACCTGGCGAGGAGCCGGCGCCCTCCCGCCCCGCACGCTGTGCCTGCCTGCAGCATGTGCATGGCCTTCCCGAGCCAGATCCTCCCCGCCACCTCCGTGCACACGGTCACCAGCCCCCTACACTGGGCCGTGACTGCAGAGCTCCCGGCACCACACCCGTTGTCAAGCGCGAGCCCCTGGACTCACCCCCATGGGCAAGCCACAGCCAGGGTGGGGTGCCCGGCATGTTCCCCAGAAGTGCCTTGCCGACACTGATGCCCCCCAAAGCCCCCGAGTGTGCTTTCCTGCCGTAGGGCGGGTGTTTCTAAGAGCTAGCCTCTTCCGCACGCCCAGACTTACCCTCAGCTGCGATGGCAGGTGGGGGGTCGGAGCCGTTCTGCAAAGCTGCACGAGTCCAGGCCTCCTTAGGTGTGGGCAGCGTGTGCAATAGCATATTGCGTACTTTGTAAAATGTCACGCAAGTCCTTCAATGCCAAGTGGTGTTAAGTCTGTTCACAATTTTCCAGAAAGTGGCCAGAGTGAGATGTGTCAGCCTGGCAGGGCACACCCCTCTCTCCAGGACGCAGTGGGCACCTGGCCAGTCACGCGGTGTGGTCTCCCGCGATCCCCATGCTCACCTCCCAGCTCCGCCTGCGCCGTGGAGGCGGGTCGACGCCTCCACGGAGTGGACCGAAGAGAGCAGCCACACCCTGGGTACAAATTCGGGATATAATCTTTTGAGCCACAGGTGACCATGCCCCTATTCACGGAAGGAATCTGGAAGGTTCCAGGCAAAAGAGCCTGTCTGCACCAGGTCCTGCCCTCACTACTACACATAGCACGTGCTCCTCGACCTCACGGTGGAGGTTGAGGCCACACCCAGAGTGGAAATTGACAGGATGATATCCTGTTCCTTCTGGAAGTCTCTGGAATTTTTAATGGGCCTCTGAAGATGGTTTATGCTAATCTGTCTCCAGTACATTGTGTAATTTCGAGTTTACTCTGGGTTTGGAAGCAGAGAAAAGGACAAAACGTAGAGAAAAGAGGTAAAAAAAAAAGTCAAGTTGTCCATGGAGGCTGTGTTGCTGGCTGTATACAGGTTTTCAAATGGGGATTCCAACCACCACCTCAGGAAGAATCATTAGAGACAAGACAGAAATTGTTTTCTAGAACTGTACACCCACACATCCCAACTGTAGGATCCCCAGACACAACGTTGTGAATCAGAAAGTGGAGTCCCAGTCACCCCACGGTCACCACCAGAGATGGGCCCCCTCCGCTCCCCCACGGTCACCACCAGAGATGGGCCCCCTCCGCTCCCCGCCGGTGCCATCGGCGAGGGGTGTGCCATCAGGGTATGAAGGTCTCCACCGAGCCCGCTTGTACCGTGGTGGACGCACACCTGCTCCTCAGGGACAAGGGCATCTGTTCCTAAAGTCACCCCCAAGTCACCCCCATCTGGGAGCCTCAGGAGGTGGCGGGAGCCTCCAGGCAGGGACTTGCTTCTCCGCCATCGGTACATTCTACCCTTCAGTGTGGGGTCTTCTTCTCCATCACCTAGGGCTTTGGGGAATCAATGTTCAGCTGGGCTAATGCTGAAGCCTTGTTAGAACTCGGGGTTTAGCTGGCAGGACCCTTAGACACACCCTGGGGCACCGGTGCGCCTGTTGCCAGCTTTGTGGAGGGTCCCCCATGCGGGATGCTGGGAGCTGAGGGCTTCTTCCTGGGGCTGACGCGGGAGGCCACCCACTGGAGCCCAGGGTGTGGCGTGGTCAATGCGTGGCCCTCTGGGACACACAAGGCCAGCCCAGCAGCCTCTCCTCACCCACTGAGGCCTTGTGAAGGGTGACACTGGTGCTGTGCTGTCTTCACTTCTGCTGCCAGAGTCTCCCCTGACCATTACGATGGTGGCACAACCACCCAGGGACACCTGGGGACCTCTGGCTGGCCCCAGGCCCTCCTCACCCGGTTCTGCTGCAGGGCACAAACGCCTGTGCTCTCTGGGCGTCTGGAGACTTACTCCCTGAGACCTGGGGTGGAGTTGCAGAATCTTCTTCCTTCTTTCCTAGTCAAACCCAGAGCCCAGGTCCTGGCCCTCTGTCAGATGTGACTGTGCACCTGTCTGGGGTCCCCATCTGTGAGGTCACTGGCCCTCTCACTTCATCAGTGGAGAGGCCACACCCCAGGCCCAGGCTGGCTGCCTGGGGCCATGTCCTGCGATGCACTAGGGCTCCCCCGTGTCAGGATGCAGTAGACACACATGTAGCAGGTACCTCAGAAAACACAGGACTGAAAAGGTGGAATTCAGAGACATCATGGCATGCTTGCACATTGTAGCCAGGCCCCAGCATAACCAAAGAGGAGCGGCAGGTGAGAGCCTCAGGCGAGACGCCGCCCTGAAGCAAGTCACGCCTGTCCCCGAGGGCCGTGGCACCCACGCCACCCCCTCCCCACAAGCGGTCAGTTCGCAGGTGGACAGGTCCTGCTTCGTTGACAGAGAGTCTGGCCCCTGGAAGTTAGCTCTGCAGGTCTTGTGTTCTGGAGATGCCCATCCTACACCTGGGGCCTTGAACTCAACGGGCCCAGGTCCCCTCCCGAGATGCCCCTCATACACCCGGGGCCCTTGAACGCTCTGGGCCCAGGTCCCCTCCTCTCCTGGGTCAACACCAGCAGAACGACCCTGAGTCAGCACTTTCGTTATTTCACAGCCACACCCTTCCTGAAACGTCACGTGGGAAGATGATGGCACGTAGGAGGTGCAGATGTGGTCACTTCCTCTTTAAATGTCATTACCAGTACCAATTACAGGGTTAGGGTTTTCTGTGTCTTGTAGCTTTTGCTTATGTAGCTGAAAACATATGAAAATCAAATGTAACATGAGAATGGATGGACAGGAGGAGATGAACACAAATTGTATATTTTTATAGTTTCTACTGGAGGAGAAAAGTTTTTAATATCTAGATTGACTTGCTGAATTTTTTAAAATGGAAATATTATAATGTAACTTTTTATACTGTTTTCTCAGTGCCTTTAGAAACAGCTTTCAAATATATTCCTGATAGTATGGTTTGTATTCAATATGCAATATTGATATAAAATAAATCACGTTAGTTCATGTTTACCACAAACAGAAATGTCTACTTGATTTTCCAGATGAAGTAACTATTTCCTTCGGTGTGTTGATTCATTTCATTCTGAGACAGTCCTTTACCGCTGGATAAAAGGCAAAAATAAAATGCTGGGGCCCAAAGATGCAGGCAGGAGGCTGAGCGCTTGGCCCCGCATGCTGTGGCCTCAGCAGAGCTCCCTCCCTCCACCCACCAGCCCCCTCTTACCCATCGTTGAGGGGTGGGGGACCCTCCCAGGTGCCTTTAGGGTCCCCCAGACTTGACCTGTCCTGAGGGAGCAGACACCTGGCCCCCGTGAGTGTGTGCATGTGTGTGCGTGTGCAGGTTTGTGATTAGGGTGCTGCAGGCCCGGTGAAGGGCCATAAAGTCACTGCACTCACGTGGAGAAAGGGGCTGGGGAGCTCTGTGCAGCCTCTTTGTTCGGGGCACTGGTCCCGTCCCCATGGCCCAGCAGAGCAGGTCTCGAGTATGAAGTCTGAGGGACATCAGTCCACAAGCCCCCACCAGCCCCCACCAGGCCTCTTGTCGCTGCGACACTTGGCATCACTGGACACACTGGTTTTGTCCACCTGGGGGCAGAATGGTAGGTAGTTGTTTTTTGTGGGTTTTTTTTTTTTTAAATGTTTGTATTTATTTTTGAGACAGAGAGAGAGCATGAACAGGGGAGGAGCAGAGAAAGAGGGAGACCCAGAATCCCAAGCAGGCTCCAGGCTCTGAGCTGTCAGCACAGAGCCCGACGTGGGGCTTGAACTCGTCAATGGTGAGGTCATGACCTGAGCCGAAGTCGGATGCTTAACTGGCTGAGCCACCCAGGCGCCCTGGTTGGTAGTTGTTTTATGTCCACCAGCGGTGCTGTTGAGGTTCTGCTGAGTGCCAGACCTGTGACAGTGCCGGGGACACAGCAAGGAAAGAAAGAGGTCGGTGTTGTGCTAGAGCTGACATCCCTGAGTGTGCACAGGGACAGGGTGCTGACACGTGACCACAGAACCAAGTTCTGCAAGGCAGAAGGACACGGGCACTGCACAGACTGGGGCAGGGTAGCCCAGGTGACCAAGGCCACACTGAGAGTCACAAGAACAGCAGCCTGCAGGGCTGGGGCTAGTCTGGGAGCCAGAGGGCAAGGAGTGGGTGGGACAAGGTCACAGAGGCCTGGGTGAGAGGGGACACAGCAGGGCCCATGTGGGAAGCACCCTGGGCTGCAGTCTGAGGCTCATGCGGGCTGCAGGGCATGAGGGGGCCCCAAGGCCTTCCTAAGGATACAGGGAGGCACCACTGGTCTGGCCTCCAGCCGGGAGTGCTGCTCGGGCCCCTTCCAGTCTCTCCTGCACTCGTGTGCCCATCTGGTTGGTCTCTGCACGTTCTCGTTATGTCAGGATAGCAGCGTCTCCTCAGTTACAGATTTTCTCTGTGGCTTGTCTTTTCGTTTAGAGATTCCATAAATAGCATACAAGAGGTTAAAATTTTAAATGTCTTTTTCTTTATGGCTTATGCATTTAGCATCTTAAGAAATAACTGAGTGCCTCTGACATAAAGCCTACTTAGTCTGATATTATCTTGCCCCATCAACTTTCTATGGCCCTGACTACACGTCAAACCCCTGCACACTGACCATCCCGTTCCTTCCATGTTTGGCTGTTTTACAGTCCATTTACTTGTGCTCTGATAATTGGTATATTTGCATGTGTTTCTACTTCTTGTGTCTCTAGTTACACAGGCCCTCTGGTATTTCTGGCCTTTCCTATGTCCCTAGGGGATTGCCTGTGTTTCCTGTGTTCCTTCCCCCGATTTGTCTGGAAGTTACAACTCTGCTTCGGTGGCTATCGCTGACATGTGCTCTTAACGAGGTGTAAGTTAGAGCGAATCAAGGTCCCTGTTCTCCCAGAACAGACAAGGACCAGCTGCTGCACCCCCGCTCTGCACTCCTGCCAAGGCCGGGGTCTTTCCTACAAGCATCCTTGGGGCTGCTTCTGCCAAAAGGGTTCACTGAGAGCTTCCAGGATGAGGAGGGGTCACTCCCAAGTGAAATGCAGGCCCGCAGCTATGAGCTCCTGGGTGGAGAGCTTCCCTGACTCAGGGTTCCCAGTACCTGGGAGAAACTGTTCTGGGGCTTTGTTGTTTGTTTGCCCCGTCCACTCTTACACTGAGGCTGCACCCTTTGTCCAGACCCCGCCTGTCCCACGTGGATG